GTTTTTCCTAGTCCCAAAGCAAGGATGCTATAGTAAATGCTGTCGCTACTATAGTGATTATGAGGTTGCCCCTAAACCCTAAACCCTAAACCCTAAACCCTAAACCCTAAACCCTAAACCCCTTATGCTTACGTCCTTTTGGGGTTCCTCATTTGGCGGTTTCCGAAAAGAGGGGACCCTAACATACTACCCAAAAATAGTAGGATCCTTAATATAAGGACCCCAAAATAAGGTACCCAAATTTTCGGAAAGTCCCATTTAGGGAGCCTCGAGGGTTCAGGGTTTCGGACGGTGGGGCTTCGGGGTCGGCGGCCCGAGGCTCGGGCCACAGTGCGGGGAATAGGACGATGCATGTAGGGTTTAGGGTTTAGGGTTTAGGGTTTAGGGTTTAGGGTTTAGGGTTTAGGGTTTAGGGTTTAGGGGTTTAGCATAGGGGCTCCTTTAAGGTTTCCTTTAAAGGGGTCTAGAAGGGCTACTATACGGGTTTAGGGTTTACGGGCCTGAATGACTAGAATAGGGTTTTGGGGTATGGTATACTCTAACTATGTGAAGGAACCCCCCAACTGTATAGGTAATTGTTTAGGGTTTAGGGTTTAGGGTTTAGGGTTTAGGGTTTAGGGTTTATTCAGGCTGTTGCACTGTTGCGCTTGGGGGCTGCTTTTGGGGGTCAGGGCGTTCGGGCCTAAGGGCGTTCTTCTTTCAGGGTTCTGTGGTTGTCGGGGTTTCAAAGCTTTAGGCTGCCCTTAAACCCTACTTCACCCTGAGCCGTACACCCTAAACCCTGATAGCCCTGTAAACCCTGTAAGCCCTGTAAACCCTGAACACAAAACCCGGAGACCCCAAGCCCCAAAATTGCCAGAAAGACCCGGCGCCTCCCCGCAGCACAACGAAGCGGATGAGCTCCGAGAGAAGTAGTGCCTCGCTTTGGGGTTTTGAGGGTCAATGGTCTTTGCTTGAGGGTTCTGGAAAGGTTTAGGCGGTGTAGGGTTAGGGTTTAGGCCTGAACCCTAAACCCCTAAAAAGTAAACCCTAAACCCTAAACTCTAAACCCTAGACCCTTAAGGTTCAGGGTTTCGGGAAGAGTTTTGGGAGGGTAATGAGCTTAGGATTTTGGATTCCCGGGCTTGCAAAAAATTGTAGCATGAGCCTGGAAGGGGCGCCCTGAAGGCAGAAACACCTGTGAAGCCAGACGTAAAAGTTTCGGAACATAGACCCCCTCCTAATCAACCCCACTAGGATCATGGGACGTAGTAAGCAAGGTTA